TGTTCCTTGATGGTATGTCTGTACAAATTCATCCTTGTTTGCAACTTTTGTCCTGTTTCGCCAACATAAGATCCTTTGCTACATTTTCTGCACTGGATAAGGTACACAATATTACTGGAGGTGCAGCTGTATGATCCGGAGATATTGAAGATCCCTTTTGAGTGTCTGACCCTTTTTGATGGATTGATTTGGTTGCACAGTTTGCAGCGTTTCTTATTGCAGGGTTTTCTTCCATTATTTGCGACATCATAATCAGAAGGAAGTTTCCTACTGATTAGTTTATTTCTGAGGTTGGGGGGTTGTCTGAAAGCTAGTATTGGTGGTTGCTGGAATATTTCTTTCAGAGTTCTATCTTCTGTTATGATGGGTTGTAAATCTTTGATTATTTTTCTTATTCCTTCTAGTGCTGGGTTGTATGTGGTTACTAGAGGTACACGGTTGTTTGTTTTTTTCTCCTTGTACTGAAGTAGATTTTCTCTTTGGGTTCTCAAGGCTGTGTTTATGCTGGTGTTGATAGTTTTGTCCTTGTAACTTTTCTTATGGAAGGAGTCTGCTAGTGTCCCGAGATGTTTATCTCTGTCTCTTGGGTCAGAACATACTTGGTGGTATCTAATGGCCTGACTGTGTATGATGGCACGTTTCGTGTGTTGGGGTGGAAGCTAGAACTGTGGAGGTAGTTGCATCTGTCAGTGGGTTTCCTGTATATTGAGGTGTGAAGCGTATCACCCCTGATGTATACTGTGGTGTCTAGGAAGTTGACCTGTGTGTTTGAGTATTCCATTTTTAGTTTGATTGATGGATGAAAAGTGTTCATCAATGAGTAAAATTGTTTTAGGTTTTCTTCACCTTCTGTCCTTATGATGAAAATATCATCAATATAGCGATAGTATCTGTATGGTTTTTGTTCCATGCTGTTCAGGAATTTATCCTCCAGGTTAGCCATAAATAAATTGGCATATTGGGGTGCCATTTTACTTCCCATCGCAGTACCCATACATTGAAGATAGATGTCTTTATTGAAAGCAAAGTAGTTGTGTGTAAGTATGAATTCAATGAGCTGTGTAACATCCTCAGCAGTGTATTTATGGTTTGGTGAGGATGATAAGGATCTGTGACATGCAGCTAATCCATCCTTGTGAGGGATATTACTACATCCATAGTCACTAGAAGTGTATTAGATGGTAATTGCTGTATGTTGTTGACCTTGTTCAGAAAGTCAGTTGTGTCTTGCAGGAAACTAGCAGTATTCTTGACTAACGGTTTTAAAACTTTTTCTACAAAGCCTGAGATTTGATCGGTGAGTGTATTCATACCTGTTATGATGGGTCTGCCTGAATTTCCTGGCTTGTGGATTTTGGGCAGCATGTAGAAGTCCCCGATTTCTGGATGATCCAGAATCACATTTATAAGTTCTGAATGTAGGTGGGCTGGAAGTGTTTTAAAAGAACAGATTCACACAAATGAGCTGGAAGGAGGAATCCCCCAGCTGGGAAACTGTATTCTGGCAGCTACAGCCAAAGATCAATAGAAAATTATCCAACATGTTTTTCAAAAGAATTTAATTAAAGAATGGACTTCTGTCAAGAAGAGAAGCCCACATCACTGAAATTCAGCTGGTCCGGCAGGGACAATTTCAATCAGTCAGTTAGTGTATGGCCAGCTTTAGATAGCTATAATAAAACGAAGGCTGGCCATACATTCTACAATTTTTCTGTACATTTTTCCTTTAGATTTATCAAAACCATATAATATGAGACCAAACCTAACATTTTCAATTTGCATGCAATCAGGCAGGCACATAGTTAAAAGGTAAATCTAAAGGAAATTGAAAAAGAAAATTGTATAATGTATGGCCAGCTTTAGAAGGGATCCTATGAGACAGAAATGTGGGTGTGAAAAATCTGAATTATTCTTACACTTGTTTAAGGTCAGTAATGACACCATTTAGAGAAGCCCAGATTACAATGACAACCCTTGGACCTTTAAAAACAAGTTCAGGACGTGCACAATCCACATGTATATCATCATACATTTCCTTCCACTTATGAAACTGAACTTTGCTAATGCAGGCCAACCTTTACTGCGTACAGCACCTTCCTCAGAACTCGGCAAAGAAAGCTGAACAGACAGAGAACTAGTATGGGATAGAATGTGGAAGAGCTGAAACCTCTGTTCAATATTGTTACAAAAACACCCACTGCAGGTAAAGAACCCACAAGAAAAAAAGTCCCAAAGAGAACAATCTGCAGCTTAGAAAAATATTTATTGAACACTGTAAGATATCAATATAGTAAAAATAGTCCCTCCACCCAAGAGTGAAACACTCTCAATGCAAGCCCTTAGTGTGTGGACTGCAGCATCCTGAAGAAGCTCACATGACTTGGTGGGTGAAAAGCATTGACGTCACAGCGTTGTGACGCCCCCGTCCCGGACATTCAGACACCCCCATGTGGTTTTATCAACCACCCGCACCACATTGGATCTGCCACTGCAGTCTTATTCACACTTATCTCCGCATGGAGTGCGTGACCAGCAGCACTATACAGCCAATTAATATTGGGATCCATCGGCATCGGTGACCATATCTGGAGTGCTGAGCTTATATTATTGGCCCAGGTTGTGTCCATATTGGAATTTATCCTTTGGATTGTGATTGCTCGGCCAAGCGCTACGCACCAGGTGACTCTTTTCAATTGCAAGCAGCGGGAGGCTGCGTTTCATTATATCCTCATCCACAGGTCACTGTCATCTGTGGCTGCCGTATATCAGTGCTGGATTTTTCTTAAGCTCACAGTGATTATCTGCCGCTGTCAGTGCTATCATTGCCATACTTTACATGATTTGACTGCAAGTGAAGACCATCACACAGGATTATGTGTGTCAGCATTGAGCATATACATCCTCAGACTGGTGGACTGCCATAACTATAACTGCTTAACTCTTTCATGCTCATATACAACCTATCTGTAGTTATTAAGAGGCCCCTGTGAGTTTGCAACTCTACACTGTCATCCAATTGCAGTGATTGCATATGACAGTTAATTCTATGAGGCCTGCAGCCTACATAGCCCCATTTTCATGTATACGCATATTCCAGTGTGAATGGCAGGTATGTCTGAGTGCCCCGGCGGGTGGTTTTATGACATGACAACGTTGTCAATATGTTTTACTCTTGTGGAGGGACTATTTTTGCTAAATTTATATCTTACAGTGTTCAATAAATATTTTTCTAAACTGCAGATTGTTATCTTTGGCACTTCTTTTCTTGTGGGTTCTTTACCCGCAGTAAGTGTTTGTGTTACATATCCTATTGGTCCTGGGGACACCACCTCAATTTTGGTGAGTCGGTCTATTCATTTATACTATACTCTAGCATAGTTCCCGATTTTGGTTTTATCATTTTTGTATCAATATCTATTGTTGTCTGTGTCCCTACTGGGGATACAATCTCTGTCAGTGTTGTTCTTAACCCCTTGACGCCAACTGTTCACAAATATGCGGTCTCTAGGCAACTGGGCCTTGACGCCGAGTGGCTGCATATTTTTGTACCATTTGAAAACGCATATGTGTTGAGAGCGCGCGCCCTGCGCTCTCCCAGAACATATGTCGGTGTCTCACGGAAAGGTACCGATCTCCCCTTGTGATCGGGACCTTTTCCAATCACGTGACCGCTGTGACAGCGAATCACAGCGTTCACATGACCCTAAAACCCCGCCCCGCCTCCTGGCGTCTGAAACCCCTTAAAGCGCCAGGAGGCTCCAGTGTGAAGAGGTTAATATATTTATCATCACAATAGAAAAATTACATGAGAACTGTTCTTTGCTTCCTGTATATCAGAAGTGCTGACATATTCCATAGGGCAGTACAGAGTATTTTTAGTCTCTAACTCCTTTCTGCTAAGGGGAGCTGGCCCTTTAAGGGTATCCTAATGCAGCAGGCCAGTAAGTGTGCTCCTGATCATGTGATCCCTGCAATTAGCTGTCCCAGTGATGACGTGATCAAGAGCATGTCTTACTGTCTCCCCATTGTAAATGGTGACTGGGAGCTGCTGGTGACAGCATGGTCACAGTGCTGGAGGCACTCCCAGCACAAAACAGTGGCGTGGGAAATATGCATATATGTGGCCCAACAAAGTGCTGCCACAAAGTTGCATATGGCTGGTGGGAAGGAGTTAAAAAGTTAATTTATTATTTGTTCATGTACCGTATTTGCCGGCGTATAAGACGACTGGGCGTATAAGACGACCCCCCTACTTTTCCTGCTAAAATGTAGTGTTTGGGCTATACTCGCCGTATAAGACTACCCCTCTTCCAATGCACACCAGTGGGAGGAATAGTGCCCCATCATTGATGTCAGTGGGAGGAATAGTGCCCCATCATTGGTATCAGTGGGAGGAATAGGTGCCCCATCATTGGTATCAGTGGGGGGAATAGGTGCCCCATCATTGGTATCAGTGGCAGGAATGGTGCCCCATCATTGGCATCAGTGGGAGGAATAGTGCCCCATCATTGGTATCAGTGGGGGGAATAGGTGCCCCATCATTGGTATCAGTGGCAGGAATAGTGCCCCATCATTGGTATCAGTGGCAGGAATAGTGCCCCATCATTGGTATCAGTGGGAGGAATGGTGTCCCATCATTGGTGTCAGTGAGGGGTCGAATAGTGCCCCATCATTGGTGTCAGTGGGGGGAGGAATAGTGCCCCATCGTTGGTGTCAGTGGGGGGGGGAATAGTGCCCCATCGTTGGTGTCAGTGGGGGGGAGGAATAGTGCCCCATCGTTGGTGTCAGTGGGAGGAATAGTGCCCCATCGTTGGTATCAGTGGGAGGAATAGTGCCCCATCATTGGTATCAGTGACACCAATGATGGGGCACTATTCCTCCCACTGAGACTTGCTGACCCTGTTCTCGTATGGTGCTGCTGCAGCCAGCATATGTGGTTGCAGCAGCACCTCTACACAGAGCACTTACCTGCTGCTCCGGCACTCAATTTTCGCGGGGGCCGCTCGGCTCCACCCCCTCGCCGGTGATTGGCCGCCTGTGTGCCTTTCCTGAGCTACAGTTCTGGCGGCCAATCACCGGTGAGGAGGCGGAGCCGCGCAGCCGCACGAACATCCAGTGGCCGAACTGAAGGAGACGCCGCGCTTCCTGGACCGGATCGTTGTGGGACTGGATCCAGGTAAGAGACGTCAGCCCCTGCAAACCCCTGTACTTAATGCCGCAGCCCCCCTAACATGTGTACCGGCATATAAGACGACCCCCGACTTTTGAGAAGATTTTCAAGGGTCAAAAAGTCGTCTTATACGCCGGCAAATACGGTATTTATTATATCTACAACCCACTTTGTAACCTACCATGAGCTGTAGACAGAGGCATAACTATAACCTTCAGGGATCCAGTGCAACAAACCATAAAGACCAACCAAAAAACACCCCCAACACACGACTGGAGCCCTTCCCTGCGAACCTGGAGCCGTTTACTCCAGGCGCAGGACCCTTTCACATATTCTGCAGTGGCCCACTCTCCTGCCATCTTGGGATATCCGCACAGTGGCTAAACACCAGGCACCAATCTCAAGTGTGACCTTTGCAACCCTGGTAGTTCTTCCACTGGTGCCAGTAGTTTTCTTAATATTGTTTTATTTTTTGTATTAAATTTTACCATTTTATTTATTTTACAATTGTATTTTTTCTTATATTTTACAATTTTTTTTTTTAGGAGCCCAGTTGGGGGTTTTGGTGAGATATCAGAAGTCTAAACAGACCTCTGATGTTTCACCTTTGAGAGAGAAAAGAGAGATTGAGGACACAGAGCTCAATCTCCATCTCTGCAGCCTCAGCTGCACAGAATGAATGGACAGGAATGGCTCTGTGCAGAGCTTCCCATTCATTCAAAAACTGAAGCACAGTAAACAAAATTTACTATGCTTCAGTTATGAATGAACAGTCAGTGATCGGTACCAATCACTGACTCTGTCCATGTAGAAAAGGAAGGGACTGGTAAATTACATTTTCCGACCCATTTCCATCCTGACACTTCCCCTGCAGCAGCCAGCGGGAGAGGTGAGGGGCAAAGCCAGCAGTGCTGCAAGGGGTGGGGTGGGGGGGACCAGGGAGCACACAGGGGCCTGGGGGCAGCAGGAGATTTTTCTTCAGTTACTTTATTGTTTCCATGTCTAGGCAAATGATGTCATACATCCCAGGAGTCTTCAGGAGGGAAGGAGGGGTATTCTTAGCTAAGCACACCCTCCTGCTAGCATGCCTGAGCCAAAGGCATGTGAATTCCAGCAAGTAAATGCTACACGAATCTTCTGCCCTTACTCAAGATGGCCACTGCCGGAAATGCTAGAGGGGTGTTTTTTAACTGATTTCACAACAAAATAAAGCATGGAGATATGGATGGATGAGTTTGCTTTGAATATTGAAAATTAATTAAACCGTGTTTTTGGTTTGTGATGGTCAGATGCAGTGTAGTTCCGCTTTAATGACCTGGTTACCAGAGAGGTGCCCTGACAAACAAGAAGTGTCCAGACCAATTTAACCTGGCCATGGATCAATCAGAACTTGGCTGGTTCACCATGAACCAGCCGAATTTTGATCCATTATTGGCTGTTCCTCTTTATGAGAACATGAACTGGCTTGTTTGAACATTTTGCTTCGATCAGCACTGATCCATGTATTCTGATGGCAGGGAAGTCCCCCTGTCAGAATACAATGACACAATGGGGAGAATTCACGCAGCCACCTCAGATGTGTGGATACAGGAATCGGTTCAGCCCCAGGGCTGAACGAAAATAAAACAGCCATGTATGGCCAGCATTACTCTAACCAAAACTAAAAAAAAAAGTTTTGGATTTAGATATTATTATTATACAGTATTTATAAAGCGCCAATACTGTATAATAATAATAATATCTAAATCAAAAACTTTTTTTAGATATACTGTAAAGCAGAAGCAAAGTTTGCAGATACCTCTGCTTCAGAGATGCGGTGCTGACATCTTGTCTGGTTACCTCTGGGGACCAGGTTTTTGTACATCTTGATTGATTGGTGGTGGTTGATGGAACTCGGAAGTGCCCAGGAGCTCTGTTATTCTGGCACCAAGGTGTAGTGTGAAAGCACACAGAGGTTCCCATGAACAGCTCAGTGTACATTCTAAAGAAGACTGAGCAGGCAGGTAAGTATATATCATTCCATGTCTCTTCTGCAGAAAAAAACCCCAAAAAAACTGCCCGATAGCAGTTTTTCACTTTTTAACTTTGGTGCTGCTTTAAAGTTGTAAGCCTGTTATATGAAATATGAACAAAGCCCATATTTCTGTAGTGCTTGTCTCAGTTCAAAGCACTAAGTGCAATTTCTCTCTGCTGTCTCTTTCCTCTGCTATAAGCATGAATCACATCTGACAAGATTTCCTGATACCAGGACAAAAAACGTGACAAGGGAGGAAGCTCCAGCACACAGCCTGTGATTGACAGCCTCCACTCTGTTCCTGTGAGCTGTGTGAAAGGCGGGGGTGTCCCTTCCCTCCAATCAGCTCTCAGAGCTCTCCTGAAGTGTAGTCTAACTTCAACTCCCTGCCCCCTGTTTTTTGAAAGCTCAGAAAAGCTGTATAAACTCTGGACTGTTTACAACCACATTCGGGCCCAGTTCAGACGGGGCAGACTCGTCAGCAGATCCACCTGCTCAGCGGAGGATTTCTTCCTTGATCCCCACTGAGCGGGCGGATGACAAGTCTGTGTCCTCTCTGCAGAGCAGACACAGGCACAGCCTGCTGACATCTATGGGGCTGTTGAATAGAAATGGACTGCTTTTCCGTTTCCACCTGACTGTCATCCAATCCGCCGGACAGATGGGGAGTGGATCCCCATCTGTCTATTTTTGGCGTACAGGATCGGATTCCGGCGGGTGTCAGTGGACACATGTCCACTGACTCCCAGCGGTTCATAGAGTTCTATGGATGGTCCAATTGGGTCCGCCTGAAAAACTGACAGGCAGACCCAATTGGACCGTCAGTGTGAAAGGGGCCAATGTCTTGGGAGGGCCAGCACTGTGAACATGGTGCTTCCTGAACTGGAGGGCCATTTTCAGGGTGCAATGCAGGAAACCTGTGCTGTGCTCAGCTGACCTATCCAGCACCCTGAGGTTCAGGAAGAGGGGTTGAGAAACTAATGTGGCAACTGTGATGTGAGACAGAAAGAAACCACAATAAAGGACCAAGTGCACAAAGCATTTCCTCCTCTCACTCTGCACAGCATTCATGGAAAAACACATTTTGCTGATTAAAGTTGAGTTACAAAATGAAAGTGCAGCCATCATCCATATTTCCATGAAACTGATTGTACAGGAGAAAACAACATGCTTGTACAGGAACACAGGGCTCCGTCACCTGCTGACCTGTAGGCAAATACAGTCATATCTGCACACAACCACTTCATAACAAACCCCGCACAACTGGACCGCCACTGACGTCATAACAAACCCCGCACAACTGGACCGCCACTGACTTCATAACAAACCCCGCACAACTGGACCGCCACTGACGTCATAACAAACCCCGCACAACTGGACCGCCACTGACTTCATAACAAACCCCGCACAACTGGACCGCCACTGACTTCATAACAAACCCCGCACAACTGGACCGCCACTGACTTCATAACAAACCCCGCACAACTGGACCGCCACTGACGTCATAACAAACCCCGCACAACTGGACCGCCACTGACTGACAACTGGACCGCCACATAAACAAACCCCGCACAACTGGACCGCCACTGACTTCATAACAAACCCCGCACAACTGGACCGCCACTGACTTCATAACAAACCCCGCACAACTGGACCGCCACTGACTTCATAACAAACCCCGCACAACTGGACCGCCACTGACTTCATAACAAACCCCGCACAACTGGACCGCCACTGACTGACTCATAACAAACCCCGCACAACTGGACCGCCACTGACTTCATAACAAACCCCGCACAACTGGACCGCCACTGACTTCATAACAAACCCCGCACAACCGCCACTGACGACCCCCCACTGACTGACATCATAACAAACCCCGCACAACTGGACCGCCACTGACGTCATAACAAACCCCGCACAACTGGACCGCCACTGACGTCATAACAAACCCCGCACACAAACTGGACCGCCACTGACGTCATAACAAACCCCGCACAACTGGACCGCCACTGACATCATAACAAACCCCGCACAACTGGACCGCCACTGACATCATAACAAACCCCGCACAACTACACCGCCACTGACTTCATAACAAACCCCACACAACTGACTCATACAAACCCCGCCACTGACGTGACTTCATAACAAACCCCGCACAACTGGACCGCCACTGACGTCATAACAAACCCCGCACAACTGGACCGCCACTGACTTCATAACAAAAACCCCGCACAACTGGACCGCCACTGACTTCATAACAAACCCCGCACACTGGACCGCCACTGACTTCATAACAAACCCCGCACAACTGGACCGCCACTGACTTCATAACAAACACAACCCGCCACTGACACAAACCCCGCACAACTGGACCACTGACGTCATAACAAACCCCGCACAACTGGACCGCCACTGACTTCATAACAAACCCCGCACCCCGCACAACAGGACCGCCACTGACTTCATAACAAACCCCGCACAACTGGACCGCCACTGACAACATAACCCCGCACAACTGGACCGCCACTGACTTCATAACAAACCCCGCACAACTGGACCGCCACTGACTTCATAACAAACCCCGCACAACTGGACCGCCACTGACGTCATAACAAACCCCGCACAACTGGACCGCCACTGACTCATAACAAACCCCGCACAACAACTGGACCGCCACTGACTCATAACAAACCCCGCACACCTGGACCGCCACTGACGTCATAACAAACCCCGCACAACTGGACCGCCACTGACATCATAACAAACCCCGCACAACTGGACCTGCCACCCCGCACACCGCCACTGACATAACAAACCCCGCACAACTGGACCGCCACTGACTTCATAACAAACAAACCCCGCACAACTGGACCGCCACTGACTTCATAACAAACCCCGCACAACTGGACCGCCACTGACGTCATAACAAACCCCGCACAACTGGACAACTGACCAAACCCCGCACAACTGCCACTGACTTCACCAACTGGACCAC